ATTCCTGCTAGCCAGACTAGGGGTCCCATCTTGGGGTCCCATCCCAGCTGGGACCATGGGTTTTTACACCATCATCCCATCCCAGCATCCCCGGCTGCTCCTGGTGGGAAGGCAGCACCTTTCCAGGGGTGCTGGCAAGGTCCTGGTGTGTGTCACCCCATCCCAGCCCACTAGGTCCCCCACCATCCTTCCTCGTCCCTGCTGGGCTGAGGTTCAGACTCAAACGCCTTGGGACAGGGCGGCTCAACCCCCAGCTGGTTTCTGACCTCCTGCCTTTTCCCTCCCTCCATCACGCTCCCTCCACCGCCGTAGACCGGAGAAATGGAAGTGAGGAACCCGCTGTTTGACGACTCCTCCTTACACCCCTCCAACCCCAAGTCGCACCAGTAACACCCCTCCTCTCCTCTGCCCGAGCTCGCTACGGACTGTACGCCCGATGCTGAAGCCCGGCGGGGTGGCCACGCTGGAGGGGCACCCGCAGCTGGGCGAGGGGGTGCGGACCCTGCTCTGCCAGACTGTTCAACACCTGCCCAATAAACACCCACTAACAGCTATGGGAGGGGGGGATCGCCTCTGTTTCCAGCGTCCTTGTCCTCTTTGCTGCTGTGATTGCGTCCCTGCCTTGCCCTTTGCTCGCTGCTCTCTGGGACACGCCAGCCCCGGTGGGGGGGAGCAGCTGCTGCCTTGACACAGAAACGGTGTGACTGCAGTGCTGTCCCCTTGCATTTGGCTTTGAGGAGGGGGCTGCTGCCCTGGCTTCGGCTGGTCTGATGCAGCAGCTGGGAAAGGGCTGGAGAGGGGGTTGGAGAGAGGGATAGGGGCCAGGGGGGTCCAGGCATGCTCGTGTCTGGGGGGAGAAGGCGACAGGGCTGCCAGCCAGCCCAGAGCCTCTCTGCCAGGGACGGAGATGTTCCCCAGAGCATGTGGCACCGCTAACGGCTCTGGTGCCTGGTCTGCCCCCTCCTCCCCAGCCCAGGCAGTCCCTGGCAGCAGGGTCCCACTCCAGGAGCCAAGGGCAGGAGCGGGCTCAGGCAGGTGCTGTCATTGCTCCCTGGGATGCGCCTTCAGGGGCCACCCTGCGCAGTGTCCAGCCGGGAGCAGCGGCTCTGTCCTGGCCTCGGCACTGGCTATATCCCCCTCCTGGGGGGCTAGGGGCCCCCGCGGCCGTTCCCCAGCCGGGAGCAGCGGCTCTGTCCTGGCCTCGGCACTGGCTATATCCCCTTCTAGGGGTGCTGGTCCTCGGAGGCCCCAACGCGCAGACAGTCACAGTGCTGCTGTGCCAGGCTGTGCCAGCGGAGGTGGGGGGGGAGGCTTCCCTCACGGCAGGCCTGGGTGCTTGCTAGGCTCTCACCCCAAGCCTCCATGGAGTGAATGCTCAAAAAAGGCTTGGGGTTTTGGTTTTAAGCCTGTGTGGCCATGGGGTAGGAAGGAGCAAGACTGGTGGGGGCTCAGGAGGCCTGGAGGGGTAGCCAAGGCATGGCGGCTTTGCTGCGCTGATTCTCTTTCCCAAGGAGCCCATGCCCTTTGCAGCATCCCTGCGGAGCCCAGCCCAGCGCTCTCTCCAGGCACCCCTCCGTGGCAGCGTACAGTCTCCACTGCTCCATCCCAGGCACTTCCCGGGCTCCAGAGACCCCCTGCTCCCCTCCACTGCCCATGTCTGCGTTTGGGCATGCCAGCCCCGACCAAGTCCTTGCTCAGAGCCCAGTGCCATTCCCCAAAGCTTCCCCGGTGCATTGGCCGTGACCCGTCCAGCGTAAGGCCTGGGATGAGTTTTGGGTTGCTTTTCACAGATGTGGCTTCATGTCCAGACCCTGGCGTGGATTGTTACGGCCACAGGTGACCTGTTGCACACTTGCACGGGGCTGACCTCTTGCACACGGGTGGCCTCTCGCACGCACGGGAGCTGTTGCATGCACGGGAGCCATTGCACGCTCAGGAGCATTGCACGTGCAGGCAGGCGTGGGCAGGGCAGGCAGCAGTGGCAGGGCCCTGTGCCGGTGAGCGGTGGGTGGTGTGGGAACATCCCCATCGGGGCTGCTGGCAAAGGCCGTCACTGCACAGATCCTTTCCCCGCACTCTACTCCCTTACCCATGGGCTGCTGCCCTTCTTCCTGCACCCCTCGTTGTTGTATGGATTGTAGTTCTTTTAAAAGGAGATTTTATTAAATGACCATGTTTGAGACCCATGCGAGTGTGTGGTGTGGGGCCAGGCTCCCTGCTGTGGGGCCCTCGGCTCGGAGTGCTCCTCTCGGGAGCGGGGTGGGACAAGGGGACAGCGAGGGAGGGTGCTGCGTGTCCCTCATCCCAAAACCTTCCCCAGGGAATAGCAGGAGGAGTGGTCCTGCTCCTGCAGCTGGGGGAGCCTCCAAACCCTTCCCAAGATTTTTTCCCAGACCTGGTAAGAACCAGACTTCATTTTCTGGCTTTTCAGTGTTTGCCAGGAGAGGTTCCCCCAGCGAAGGGTTGGGTGGGTGGGAGCCCTGAGCTGTGCCTGCCCGCACCCAGCCCTGCAGCACCCAGCACTCACCCGCCCCCATCACCCCTTGCCCCCAGGGCCGGGCCCTTCGCACCTCGGCGGGGCCGGCAGATAAGGGCTATTGCATCCCCCCATTGTGTGGAGCCTGAGCTCTTCCTCCAGCCCTTTGATCACACCAGCCCCCCATCAGGCTGATACAATCTCATCTCCTCCTGGTTTCGGCAGCCTGGAGGGTGGGTGCTGACTCATGGCCAAAACGCCCAGGCACACTCGGGGATGCTTCGCTCAGCCCCGCTCCTGGGTGGCTCCGGGGTCTCCAGCTGCAGCCCCAGGTGGGCAGCATCGCACCTCAAATCACCTGGGACAGCCCAAAGGCTCACCCCTGGGGAAACCCAGCCTTGCAACCCCCTCTCCGAGGTCCCCAGTTTTGTCCTTCCTTTGTTCTCAGAGCCCAGCAGCCTCTCAGAACACGCCCAGGCGTTTTGGGAAGCTCTAGCTTTGAGGAAAACCCAGTAGCTCCTCCTGGGAAGATCCCCTAGCTCAGGTCCCCCCAGGAAGCTGTGTGCCCACTGCATGTCCAGGCACAGAAGAGTCATTTGTCCTGAGACACCGTGTCTGTGCCATCGCAGGACAGCCTGGGGCTGGGTGCAGGGTCTGTGCTCAGCATCAGCCTGTCTGTGCCTCAGTTTCCCCAGCTGTAAAACAGCAGGGAGAACTGGGTGGTGTGTTCAGACACTGGGTGATACCCAAATTACACCCCGGGCTCTGTAATGCAGAGGCCTTTTTAGTGAGGGGACAGATTTGGACCAATTCATCTTCCAGGACCTTCATCTCAGCTGGGTTTGGAAGCACCAGCCCTTCATCCCATCCACCCAGGCCAGCAGCCAAGCAAACTGCCCTGCCACAGAGGAGCTTCGGTGTTCCTCGCAGGGATGGGGCTTCTGAAGTTGAACCCACTGCCCAGCCCTCCTCAGACAGACCTGGGGTGAAGACTGTGGCCGGCTCCTGACCACGCAGCCTCGACCCACTGCGTGCAAGGCTGCAGCCCACCAAGCCTTAGGCATGAAGCTCAGGGTGATCCAGCACAGCCCCGATGATCACTTCTCCATCACTTGCCCCAGGAGAGAGGGTGAGCTGACAGCGAACAAAATATTATCTGTGGTCCTATGCTCTTAAAATCTAAAATCTTGTCTCCAAGCCACACCACTGCCAAAACAGTACACTCAGCAAAGGCAGGACAAGCAGGTGTCCATCGCTGCCCCCCCCCCCCCCCCCCCAGCCTGGCATCATCTCAGCGAGCTGGGAAGGACAGACACATTTCTTTGTACTCCCCTTTTCCTAGGAGGAACCCACCCATCCCTGGCTGGGTTACAGACTGCAGAGCTGGGCCCGAGTCTGGAGCTCCAACCAAGGAGGGTGACAGTGGGATGCATCCTTCCTCCTCCGCAGCAGGCAGGAGGCTCTGCCCCAAAGGAGAGGGATGGCCAAGCCCCAGCCATCGGTGCACAGTGACCCCGCACAATAACTGGGCGCCTCACACAGCCCCCCCAAACTTGTCCCATTGAAATGTAGCGGGGGAGCACACACCGAGAAACCCCACTGACTCCCTCCACATCCCCCAGCTAAAACCATCACTGCCACAATGGGGCCCCGCTCCTACAAAGGGGCTGGTTCAAAGTCAACGTCTCCCTTCCCCTCTGCCTGT